GGTGCTTTGAGACAGACTCACGGCCGGCTGTGATTGAGCTCAATGGGTGAGGTGGGGCATTGCCCTACAACCCAATTCAGACTACTCTCCTCCGGACACCTTTTATTTATAATACCCACAACATCGGGACAGAGGTTGGGCCTGACGGTCCCCAGACAGTGCCCTGCATCATCGGCCAGGATCAGCAGCCCCAACCCCTGTCACCATTTATATCAAAATAACCACAAACACGATTTTAATTAAACCTTTCCACAAACAGCTCTTGATTATGATGTGTACCCCCCCACATGCGGCTCTCTGCTCACAGCAGGTTGGGGTAGCGGTGCTGGGAAAGCAGCCTGGGTTGACTGGGTCGAGAAGCAGCAGCGAGCTGGGAAACAGAGATGGCATTAAGGAAGAGGTTGTACCCCAAAATGTGAGCTCTACTGTTGTCAGGATGCTGCCACAAGCATCCTCTCCCCCCATCACACACCCTCCATCACTTCCCTCCCCCAGTTTAGTGTCTTATAAACCCCAAATTCCTATACCTGGGGCTGGTATCCTCTATATCCCCCTGCCCATAGCAGATTGCAGGCAATTTGGCATCACCTCAAAAGCCAGAAACCACCCCCCAGCCTATCCAGTGACACCCCAGGACACTGCTCTCACCTGAGAGACCTGGACAGGGTTGAAGAGGGGGACTGATCCCACCGGTAGGGAGGATTCATGGGAGCCAGTCTGGAAGGAGTGAAGGGAGAGAAACTTAACAGCCACCCCCTATTTTGGAACACTCCCCATCAGACACAAATGCACCTCCCTCCTCTCCTCACCTGCTCTCCTGCTGGCTCCCCACCACCCGAATCCCATGAGCCTTTCATCTCAATAGACACTGGAGTAACAGGAAAGGTATTTTCACCTTGCATTCCTCCTGGGACATGAGACCACAAAAACAAAACAAAACAAGCCAATAAAACACAAAACAACAACAAAAAACACACTCTTAAAATTAAGAGGAGCAGCTTCTAAAATGTTGATGGGGAACAGAGTGAGGGAACCCACACAGCATTTACCAGGATTTCTGGATGGAGACTGAGCAAAAGGGCTTGTCCCGGGCGTGAGAGGATCATCAGATGGTGATGGTGACGTTCGTTCCTGAAACCACATCCACCCCTTTAGAGCAGAAGCTCCTTGCATGCTGAGAAGACCTCTACACCAGAAACCACACCACACTTTCAGGGTAACTCTCTGCACCCATCATCATGAGCTTTATAAATTGTACAATTATTAATTAAATATTCACTTCCAGGCTGAAAGGGTTCCTGGTCCTGCTCTGTCCCCACAGAGTGGCTGGGACATGATGAGCTGTGCACTGACATGGCCCAGCCACCTGCATGAGGACAGAGGGAAAAAGCCTGGGTGGAGGGGGAGATGTATGACCTGTCCCCATGGCCGTAACCCTAGGTGTCACCCAGGGACAGGACAGGTTTTCAGCCCCTACCTGCGATCCCAGAGTGGGGGAGTCTGGGGCCCTCTCAGATGATGTTTTGGGAGACGTTTCCTTGGTGGGCTTTGACCAAAACCAGCCAAACCATCTAAATCCAGAGCCCTGGGAAATGGAGATTATCACAGTCAATGGAAATGGGTGAGAAGGGGAGGATGCCACGGCCACCCAGATTGCCCCCCACATCAGCCAGAAGCAGGCATCAGGTCAGGGCAGGCATGGCAGGCATCAGGGACAGGCAAGCTCAGAGCATGAAGCTTCACATCAGCTCTGACATGCTTACCTTATCTTCACCCGGCTTCTCCGCCTCTGCTGGTGCCTGCTCTTCAGCAGTATCTTCAGCTGCGCTGTCCGAGGAAGCTTGGCTGTCATCTTCCAAGGAGATGGTGGAGCTCTCAGAGATGGTCCGAGCCCTTGCCTTTAGCTCCTCCTGGCATCAGACAGCAAAGCTGCCACTTGGTGTTCCCAGAGGAGACACTCCAAGCATGATCAGAGCATCCCCAGGACTCCTCCATGCCAGGCTTAGCAGATAGCATTGGGGGAACTGCTGCATCCCTTATACAGCAAGTGGGGAAGAACAGCACCCACAGCGCGGTGCAGAGGGCTGCCCATGGTCCCAGAGGTGGGAGCCTGGAGAGGGCTACCCTGACCTGTCAGGTCCCCAAAGAGACAGTTGGCATCATGATGACAGGTTTCTGTGCACAGAAGGATGAGCCAGAGAGTCCCAAATCCCCCCAGGGCCCCCAGTGGAAAGGTCTCCTCTGACTCACCTGCTCTGCTGGGAGGGATGGCTGCACCCCTCCAGGAGACAGCGAGGCACCCCAGGACACCCCAGCTTCTCCTGTGGAGCAGAGGGAAGGACACAGTCAGGGTTTGGCCTGAGGAGCTCCTGCTGTGTCTATCAGAGGTATTTTCAGTGCTGCTGTCACCCCACCCCAGAGCAAAACCCTGTGCCCAAGATGTCCCCCCAAGAGATGTAAAAGACCATTCTGGTCCCGTCCCTGCTGGCACCAGGGAAGGATGAAGCCACAAGCTGTTTTTCCCATCCAGCAGGAAAGTGGCAGCACTGCCACCAACCCACAGCAGCTGCCCTCCCTTGCTGATTTTGGACAAGGCGTTCCAAAAATGAAGACCCTCCTGCTCAGGGCAGCCAGCACTGGTGGACACAGTTTGTGTGCGTGGCACCGTGGCAATCACGGCTCCACGTCTGGGCAAGGCTGGAGGGAAATCAGGCACTGGATGAAGGCAGCAGCATTTGAAGTGACACAGATGCCATCGGGGATCACGCTTCCCTGAGGAACACACCATCCCTCTGCTGCTATCTGGGGCCAGGCATTTTTGCAGAGGAACAACACTTACCTGCCAGTGGCACTGCCTGTGGAGGCAGCTCAGGAAAAACCCCTCCTGGAAGGGTGGCCGTCACTGGGGGCTGCAGCTCTTGCCCAACATCCAGCAGTGGTGATGCTGCAACCTGACCAGGTGCTGAGGACTGGAGGGACACATCCTCATGGGAGATGGGGCCTTGTGATGGTACAGGCTGGTACCACTGGTTGTTCTGGGAGCCGTCACTCTGCGGAAGCTCATGGCCAGGCTCTCCATCTAAAAACAGAAAAAAAAACCAAGAAAAAACACACAAAAAAACCACCTTGGGAATTTACTGTACTGATAATTATTAATTCTCTTCTATTATACACCAGTGGGACCCCAAAGGGTGAGGAGAGACCCCAGGGACCACATGCAGGCGAGGGAGGAGGCAGGGCACAGCAGTGAGGACCTTTCAGAGGCTTCAAGGGAGGTGGGCTGTGAAAGACGGGAGAAAAACCTCCTGGGAGCATGCCTGAGGTTGCAAACGAGCTCGGCAAGGGAATGCCGTGGCAGTGAGCAGTCCAAGACCAAGTAGCACTGGCCCAGCAGCTCAAAGGAGCCTGTGGCCTCCCTCTAGCTTTTTCTTCTTGCTGCACACTCTGAGCAGGAAAAAAAATTCAGCCTTTATTCCTGCTCCCCAGGAGCACCCACGGATGAGTTTCTTGCTTTAGGCAGATTTATTCAGGGTTGAGTTTTGTTGTTTGAAAGGCAGGTTGAGCAAGCAGAGTTTGTTTTATTTAACGCACACAGGCATTGCTCTGTCTGATGTTGGACATGGTGTGGGCAGCACGCTGCCTTTGGTCCCAGCTGCGTATCCTGCATGTTCCAGCTCTGCAGCCCCTGGCCAGAGATGTGCAGGACAGCAGGAAGTTTCTGTCCCATTGCTGTCAGACATGGCCAGGTCTTAGCCTAGGAACAGATTATAGCACCTCTTGGATGCGGTGCTACAAAACCCATTGCTTTGCCTGCCAGCATCACCTCCAGCCTGCTCAGGATAAGCTTCACACCCATGAGCTGCTCCAGCATGGCCTGGAGATGCTCAAGATCTACAGGGAGAAGGATGGATGCTCAGCTCCACGCTGCCCAGCTGGAACAAGCCAAGGAGGAGAGCCCAGGCTGTGAGGATGGAGAGGGAGGCTTCTGTGGCCACATAGATCTCAGCTTGACACCTTGATTCAGGCTTTTTCTTCCCAAGACGGATGACTTCTGTTCCAAGCCAGCTTTCTCTGTGTGCGGGTCCTTCAGATGGTGACTCTGGATGGCCTTCTCAATGAACAAAAAGTGCCAAGCATCAGGAAAGCGAGCTGTGGAGACCACACGGAGCAGGTCTGGCCGTTCAGAGAAGCCATCTCATCATACCTGCGGCTTTTTTCCAGGGAAGGATGATCATAGCCTCAGCCCTGATGGCAGCAGAAGGCAATCAGGATTGATGATCCTTTTTACTGCCTGGGAGGGCTCTTTGAAGAGGGATTTGGCAGCAACAGGGAAAGCTGATAGGAAGAAACGGCTTGGAGGAATTTGTCATGTTTTATTCTGTCCATACCAGCCTTTTCTCTCCACCCACCAGTGCCAGCACTCCCAGCAGAAAGCCAGATCCAAGCAGCAGCGAGGAGCAGCGAGCTGTGCCAGGGTATCCTGCTGATAGAGGCGGCCGTGAAGCAATGCTGATGGTTCACCAGCCTCTGACTTGGTAGGACATCCCGCTGGACACGCTGTCCAGCCAGGAAGGGAAAGCTCTCCAGTCCTTCCCTCGACAGCCACCCAGCAGAAGCTCACACTCCTCATCTTGATGTCCCCACTTCTCCTCCCACAGTGGCCACAAGGACTCCTGAAGCTGTGACAATTAGGCTCAATTACTCAGACTTCGTACGGAGAGCACGAGCATCAACCCTTTGATGTGCAGCCCACATCCAGCAGCCCCACGCCAGAGGGATCCATCCAGGCAGGAGCAAAATTGTAAGCTTTGCGGGGATGTAAGGGGCAAGAGACAGCTGCTGAGAGATGCCCTGGGGAGAGATGGCCCCAGCCGATGGTAGCACAACACCATGCGCTGAGAAGCCTGATTGCAACCTGCTGCTTCATTTTCTTTACCTGCCATTGATGCAGCAGTCCAGGAGAGCCCTGGCTGAGCGGATGCCACCTCTGAAGGAAGGTTGTCTCCCATCTGCAAGGAGTTGGAGGGAAAATGGGATAAAACAGATGGAAAAAATGGATGGCACAGGGCAAAGACCAGGGAAAGCACAAAGCTGATGTGCAGGAAGGGCAGTGCCAGCGGGTCTGGGGCTCACAACCCACCACAGGCTGTGGGTGAGACCAGAGTTAAGGGACCCAAGAGCACACATCTGCAAGTTGATGCCCTGCTAGTGTCTTATGCAATGTCCTCACCACAAGAGGAGATCATCATTCACCCACCAGCCCCTGACCACCCTTCCTTGAGCCAAGACAAGGAGCACTTTGCCCAGTGTGAAGCTCTTCAGCCCTTGCTCTTTGTGCCTTTGGACATTGCAGCC